AAATACAGAAAAGAATTATGCTAGGAATTTGCTGGGGTAATTAAATTGGATGAAGCAGCAGTAAAATTTGAAATAACCCCGCAAGTGATTTGTTATGCTCCAAAAAAACATTGGGTGAGAAAAAGATCAAAGATATTCTAGTCAGGTTTCTATATGATGAAATGATCAGGTGTTTAACTTAACCAGCTGTTTTTACTTCTTTCGCTCAACGCTCGTCTACTCAAAACGAGTAGCTTCGATCATTCTTAGATTTAGCAAATGTGATTGCAACAAGTAATTTTTTTTTACAGAGACAGTAAAAACCTGACAAGTTTTTGAAACACAGATATTATAATGCTCAGTTTTTCCTATCTTTCCTTTTCTGTTGTTTTAGTTTTTTGTTAAGAGTATCTACATTGCTCATTACATATATTAAATACGTTTTGTTATATGTCGGTTTTTATGTATATCTTATGTATATAAAAGAAGATTTTGTCCTCTACATAATGGTAAATAAATAAATAACTGAAACAGATAAATAGATAAATAAATAAATGTATATATATATATATATATATATATATATATATATATAAGTAATAAAACAAAGAGCCGGAAGAACGAGGACGAAACAAAAGAATTTCAGTTCTGAAAACACTTAGAGATATTTTAATTATATTTAAAATCAACTTAGGTAGAGCAGCGGTTACTGATAAGCTTTCGAAGTAGACAAACCGTTTATCTCTTCAGTCACTTTTCTGCAAAAGGCTTTGAGGGTTTTATATACACCGTTACAGTATGTGTTTGGATTTTTAAAATATCATTCCTATTCGCTGCTGAGGTTTGGTCAGGTGGAGGATTTAGTTGTGTAACGTCAACTGCTGGTTTTTCATTGATTCCAGTACTTGGTTTATCGGTGGCACTTTTCTACCACTAAATATTTGTTTCAAGACGCGTCATGTCCAGTCAAGTAATTTTTTTAGTTAATATTCTACATTTTTCTGAAGTTTCTGCTAAATTCTGCTCAGTCTCCAACTTCAAAAGTAATAAAGTTTCTTTTAAAAGTATTACTGGTAATAGGATCATATCGTTACAAAACGCAAGCGAAGATGTTACTCTTTGCAGAAAATTACCACGTTTAGAGAGCTATTACTTGTTTGTTGCTTGTCTATGAGTCTTGATGCTTGTTGATTCCTCCTACTTCTTTTACTTTTTTCATTTAAACAAGATTAACATGGTGCTAATTATGTACGCATTATATATATGTGGGCCATTCCATGCCAAATTCCACACTTTTCTCCCTTCATATCTCCAAATTTTCTTAAATTTTGCTGATTAGTAGAGTCTAGACCAGTATAGAAAAAGCCGAAAAAAAACCAGGAAAAGTGAATTCTCTACCAAGTTACACCCCCTAAAAGTTGCAAAATTTACCACCTGACATGCTTATCTTTGCAGACTTGTAATTTAGCTCGTTTTGAATAGAATTTATTGGTTTTTTGTCCTTTAGATTTGATATGACCTGAATTTTTAAACGCATATTTATATTTTAATTCTGTTGAAATATTACATGAATACAATAAAAACAGAATTCCAGACAAACATAAAGAAAAACTGAGTTTCAAATTTTTTAAAAAAGATTTATTTTAAGCAAAATTTTTGCGTTTACAAAATATCAAAATATGAAGATGGCGACTTCTTGGTATCACAAGCTAAGAGCCGGAACAGGATGTAAAACTGAAAAAAACCCACTGCTTTTACAGTAATCCCACGTATTTTACAATGGCAAAACCATCAGGACCAGCTTCTAAAGGCCGCAGCGTGCAGTTACAAGTATCCAGTATGCTTCGGACGTTGAAAATTTGCTACCAAAGTTGTACTTTACTTTCATAACATTAACAAATTATTATTTCGCAGAGTTGTAATGAGTAGCCTTCACTCCAGCGTTTTGTACTTCTTGTAGTTAGAATTGTCTGCACCTTGTAGTCGTCGAAGTTTTGGTTGCATAAGTGAACAGAAAATTGACCCGTCGATCTTCTCTGGTAAGTTTTCAGACTCCTTTGCGACGCCAAAATGTATACTAACTACATAGTTCTGACAGAATAAAACACTGGAAGTAGTGACATCTGAATCTGTATAGGATATGGAAGACCCTTGCTGTAAGTGGGACTTGAACAGTATAGTCCTGGGAGCGAGCATCATTCTTGAGTGTCAGGCCCTATAATCTTTTAAAGTACTGCTCTTTTCAAAAGCAGCAAGATCAACTCGCAACTGTTTTTCTTCATTTCTCAGACCTGTCTTTAGAACAACAGAATCACCTCCTAGACCGGTATAAAGTAGCCATTTCCTGTTACACTGCAGCGTTGTGCCAATTTTCTTGAAGCCTATGAGTCCAACTTGTTTATCTTACTTACCAGATGCTTACTTAGTTGAATTCTGTCGAAGCCTAAAACTTAGATTTACTGGTAGCCAGATACCGCTGTACCTTCACTGATCAAGATAACAGCTGATACAATGGTGGAACAACTTTTAATTTCAACGTTTCAGCAACAATACATACATCAACGTTTAAAAGTATGCGTCAGAAAAGTGAAAAAAAAGTCTGCTACACAAACTGTATTTATGCACTGCGAATGTAGGTAAGTACTCTAAATTATCAGGACTCAAACAGCTAAATACATTTAAGCATAACCAAATTTTCTAATAAAAAAGGAAACATTCATTAACGATTAACAAGTGCAAAACAGAGTTAACTGAAAGTGATAGGGCATTGGAACCACCAATGAGCAAAAGAGTTTAATAAAGACTGTCTGCATATTCATAAAACAAGTTAGGAACGACGCATAGGGGAGAACTCGCATGAAAGAAAGCAGCAAACTTCCCATTTTAGCTGAGAATTTCTAAGGCCAAGCATAATGATGAAAGATTAGAGGTAGTTGATGCCAGGCTTAATCTGACAAGACAACCGTAACATTACTCCAACAGACTTCTAAGACTTTTCAATTTTAGAACCATTTCAGCCAATGCTTCAACTATGTCAGTGATTACACAAGCAACACTTTGTCGGTATAGAAATCAAGCTGAAGATAATATCAAAAAGAATGCAGTAGGTTTCAGTATTCCTGATGGCACTAGAAGATCCGACAACGACAACAGTAAGTCAAGGTTTTTTACAGCTAATTAATAATTACAGCTAATGGCCTGAACATTGTACTTACCATGAAGCTTTAGTAAAACAGACGAATTCAAAAAATTACATATTAAAGTTAACAATAACAGTTTTAGTACTCGTTTCAAAGGCAGATATATACACTGAATTAAAAAAAAAAACTAAACTGGTGGGAAGAGAAGCAAAGACACTGCAGCAGATATCATAGTCAGGTACCGCCTTAATTTCGGGGTAGAGTATTAAAACTGCGTTCCTCCTCAGTCCATTTTCCCAAACCAGCGAGTTTGGAACCGTATTCTCTCAGATACACAAAACAAAAGAAAGAAAGAAAAAATAGGGAGAAGGAAGCAATGCAAACCCAGTACAGCAAAGAAACCCAGAAGGGAAACATGATTCTATCATGCGTGATGGTAGCCCCTCAACGATGCAGAATCGGTACCGTATAACAATTCTTTTTTTTTTATAAAGTTTTTTTTCTTCTCATTTTGAACGCAGCTAGAACTTTTTAAACTTATGTTTATATCTAATACCATTATCATTCTGATAACTGAAAACCGCTCTTGGAATGAAGCTGGTGCTGAAGTCTCCATGCACTGTGATGGCGCTGGTTTTGTCAACTCCAGAGCGTTTAATCTGCAATAATTTCTGTTAACCTGTTTCATTCTCCAACTGCTCCAACATGCAAAAAATTTAAAAGGTTGGAGAAAGGAGACGTGCTTTAAAACCTCCCTGAAAAAGTGAAAAAGTGTTACTGGTGAAGAGATTGTGTTCCACTGTTACACTATCATGACAGAAAGTTAGCCGAAAAAAAGAAAAAAAGCAAAATTTCAAAAGAACGTTTAAAAAAGCTGCAGTCGCAGATAAAACTTCAATATTATGCGAAGTGAAAGTGGCAGTCAAACATTTTACATACATTCTAATCTCAAAACGTTCCCCTCAAAGCTCAAGTTTCCAAAACAAGTTATCAAACATTTAAACATGCTGCATCCCTAAAACCTTAACCATAGCTCTTCCCCCTTTGGTATGAAAAATCCGTGTCCTGGTGAAGGGAAGTTTAAAAAATTCACTTTTTGAATTCGCGACATGTATTAATTAAAGTTAAAACAACAATAGCTAGCTGCCTGCCGTTAAGCCCCGAAGAAGCCAGTATGCTGTAGGGTTGCTAATCCGTTCAACGTGCAGCCGTGCAATAAAGACTGCTACAAAAGCTTAAACTTCGGTCGATTACACATAACTATTCTAACACATACTTCCCCATACAGCAGTCGTTCACCATTCTGCGCTTGAAAAACCTGCTATTTGTCAATCTTAACTGTTAAAAATCAGTAATAACAGTAGCATTAATAAACCAATTATTTGAACAGCCAAGGAAACTGGTCTTGCTTTAACATAACTTTATAACAAGAAAAAATATTTAAAACTAAACGAACAAAAAAACTATCGCAACTTCCAGTCCAGTAGTTTTCAAGTTGGCAGTCGCTACGCAATCTAACCAGCTTTCTTTTTTTTTAAACGACCCATGCTTACCCTCAAAAACCTCCGACGCAAGAATAATTAATCCCAACATCCAGCGGATAAAACCATTAAAATGGGCAACACTTTCAGTCAAGACTCTTAAGACAGTTAAAACCAGAAAATCTGAAAAAAAGCTGGAGGCCAAGCTCGCATGCAAACGTTTACGTTTACAAACAAAGAAGATGCTCTTACCGTTGCTGAAATTTGGCAACATGCAGCACTACAACTTCCCCCAAAAAACTATTTTAAGAATAAAATTTTTTAATGATCTCTTGAGTATTTTAAAATCAAGATATCATCAGATCTTCTAATTTGCAATGTAAGTAAAAGCACTGGATTATTACATAATGATAACTGACCATGGCGAATGACACATTTTATCCTCAGTAGAAGCTTGCCACTGAAACAAACGCATTTAAATAAAAACAAGCTCAAATATTCTATCCGCTGAAACATGTTTGATGTAACAACAGCCAAAAAATAAAAATCGCAACTCAGACATAAACAATGAACTAAATTGAGTTAGACCACCAAGACCTCTTACATGCTTCTACATAGCATCAGTAAAAACAGAAAAAAAAAGGAACAAGCCCCTGAAACTCCTCTGTTAAAAAAACAGAAAATCAAGGACCCCCTTGAAATTGTTTACACATAAACTTCAAAAACTTACCATTGGTATCTTCCTAGATTCTTCTGGCTTCGCTCTATAAGTATTCACAGCATCTATGTTAAATTTGAACATTTCGATCTCACAGCTATACGCTTTCGGTGTCAATTTAATGACAGTATGCAGAGGTACGTTTAAATACGGTAGTTGAGAGCGATCTTTGTTGTCAAAATAAGCAAGTATACATCGTAATACAGCCTAAACTTTGCCTCTTTTACCTAGATTCATTCCTGATTATACAGGCAAAAATTAATTGGTAATAGTAGCAAAACTTAAAAGTAAAACACTCAAAAAAAAAAGAATGTTACTAAATTAACTGGCACTACATATGAACAACTCTTACCAACAGCGACGCAGAATAATTAATATTAAAAAAAAACAGCGAAGAAAACACAAACCTGATGAGAAACAACAAGTACGTTGCCTTGCCTCTCCAGTTCCATAATCACTGGCTCTAAACGTGAAACCAAATCCTCATAACTCTAAAAATAGAAATCATCAGTTGTCAAATTACTATTCTCTTCCTAAAAAATCTCTTTTCCTTCATCTGATAAAAAGAACTACCTCGCCTGATGGATAACGATAATGATATTTGTCTTTATCTCGCTCACTAAACTGTTTTGGGTACCTCTGTTTAAAATCGTCATAAGTAAGACCCTCGCAAATGCCCTGAATAAAAAAATGTGGCTATGATAGAACACAGGGTAGCATCATGTTTTCATCGCCCCCCAATTAAACGCCGCTTGAGCACAAGCAGGCAAATAAAGAGCCACAAAATACGGCTTTTTAAAAAAGAACTACCGCATCAATTTCATCAAGCACTTTCCAGTACTCTACGTTAGCCGCGAGATCGCTTAGTTTACGAGCGGTTTGTGCGGCCCGTACTTTTTGCGAACTCCATATCCTCAACTCGCCAGGAATATTCTCCATCTAAAATTGAGGTCCATATTGTTCGTTAATGCTGCAACCTCACTACTACTTCCTACCTTGAAATATTCTCGAAGTTGTCGCGCATATTCCAACCCGTTATCACTTAGTGGACTGTCACCACCCAAACGACCAATTCGGTTATACTCACTTTCGCCATGCTAAAACTTAGTGCTACACTTGCAAATACAATTAGAAAAAAAAGCGATACTTTAACAGCAACCTTTAACAAAAAATTAAATTACTGAGTTAGCCTAAAAGTCTAGTCGCATTTCATCAAAATGTTTTCACGTGACTGAAGAGGTGAATAGAATAAAACAAAATCTTGTATAACGAACAAAATAAATGTTATAACGAGCTCCTGCACTTTTCCCAGGACCATCAATAGCTCCGCAGGACCTTACGGTACGCAGCCTCATCCAACGCAGTACATTTTACTCTTCCCCTGAGCTAAAAATGGGCTTCAAAGGTGCAGACGGAAAATGCTTGATTTATAAATAACAAAACCTTCCAAAACCTTTCACATCTCTCTTTTTAAAAATTCGAGCTGCAGGATAAGAAAAGATGACGGCAGATCTGTACTATGAATCCAGTGGTTTTGTTGATAGAGGTAGCAAGGTATATGTAACCCGCATTGTAGGTTCTAAAATGCAGCTGAAGCTTCTCTCCAGTGTTCTAAAATCACGCTGTGAAAACCATGGCTTATTTAACTGCGCGAATGCAGTGGGTGATTATTTACCACATAAATTAATACAAGCGAGTATAAAGGTCGAAGAACACCCAGGTAAGAGTAACATCACGGAGCTCCACATTAACACCATCAAAGTTACCTCTTCTGTCTAAGCTCGCTAAAGAGCTCTCCGCCAACGTCTAATGGGCACTTAATAGGTGACTAAAGAATACGATTAGAAAGGAACCGAAAAACGCCAAAATTTCCCTTAAACAACCCTTCAAGCCAATATGCAAATATGAACCTGTCTATGCTAAGGTAACAGTCGTGAGTATACGGAACTGAGAGTTCATTAATTTGTGATTTGACTTTGTAACAAAATCCTGAAATGCGACAAAACTTTCATGCCAACACAAAATTTGACGCCGACTATACAATTTTAAAGTTTTTGTTCTTCAGAAAAATTTTACTGTGTAAAACAAACCCTTGTTAGATAAATAGAACGAGGTAGTAAATGAATGTTCATCAAAAAATACACCACACGACTTTGCACATGTCCGTTAACATTATGTACAAAAAATGAGCGACCTGCGTTTATTACTTTAATAAATGAAAGATCATCATCAATTTCTTCGTCAATCGGCTGATACTAAAAAGAACTCAATTTTTTAGACAACCTCCAACAATTTGAAACCTTTTGAACTTGATTTCTGTGAAAATCCTTTGAAAAACCTGCTTTTACCTGTATATTATAATGTTCAATGCGTCTAAGAAAATCTTCCTTTGCCTCATCCTCGGTCATGTGACCCTTGTAGTCTGGCGAGTTAATTTTCACTTCCTTAATAAATTGAATATAAAGTAAGTGAATCTAACGTTCATCGAAACCCATAAGTGATTTCTGAAAAATCCGTTAAAGAACATCCTAGAGATATCCAACTAAAAACGCTTCTCTCCCGCTCCCTGATTAACGTTTAGTAAAGCAGTTAGTCATAGTATTCATTTAAACTGCCTATTTTAATAAGGTTCAAAAGTCACACTTGACCAGTAAGAGATACCGTAATATTCGCGTTTATAATTTCAGGATCGTCGCATATGCTTTCGATGAAAAATATCCTAAAAGCCGGGTCACGGTTCTCACGTTGGCAAAACTGAACAAGCCATCTCCGTCTTTCTTCAGTTGTGTTTGTAGCATCGAAAATCTGATTTTCCAGAATAATACCGTACAGCCGTAAATTTAAATAAAAAGGAAAAATATAGAGAAAATGTGAATTTTCACTTGAAAAACGGTAATGAATTAAAAAGTCACTGAATAGTGGTGAAAAATTTCTAATAGACTCAGGTCTTGAACAATTACATGAAACAATCCCTTAACAACAAGATTATTAAAAACTTACAGCAACTTCGCCTTCTTCGCTACTTAAGTAACCCTCTATATCTTCCAAAGCAAGCCGTGTACATTCACTTAAAAGTAGATTATTAGAAAACTAAAAAGCTACAAAGCGAAGCAGTAGTAACACAAAAATTTTTTTGGAGAAAAATTAATACTTAAGCAATGACAGTTCAATCCATCACATAGCGTCGAACCACATTAAAAAAATCTATCGATTAACGCAGACAGCAATAGAAAAGAAAAAACATACTCGTGAACTGCAGCTCCCTCTTTGCTAAGGGGATTAAAAAAATCATAGTCTCCAAATTCTTCCTGGCCGAAGGTTTTCCTCCAATAGTCATCGACATTAAAGGCTACAAAAACAAAAAAATTACAACAAAAAACAACTTATTCTACTTTCATCGGTTTTATCCTCTCTCCCCTTGAAACTTCACTTTCGCAAAAAGTGATCTGATAACCCTCAATAATGACCCATCTTATTCTTCGCCTCAAAAAAAGAAGCATTTTAGTTAAATACCAAGTATAAACTCTAATACAGTGACCTAGAAACAACCTTTCAAATAATTGACTATTTTAGAACTGTATGCATTTGCATGTCAAGAAAGCGAAATAAAAACATTTTCGGTATATTGCCGTTTCCAACATTCTATTAAAATGTTATCAGCAAGCTTCCAACTACCTACCTCTCGTCTTTATTCCGATCCAATTCAGGTAACGGCATAACTTGTGAGATATGTACGTTTTACCTCTAGCAGGTAGTCCTACAAGAGCAATTACATTCGGAACCCGAACCTGCTCCCGCGACGAATCTGCAAATTACTAAGCTCAATGATACGCCATTTACTTCCCTTATTATATATTAAAGAACTAAGGTTTAGTAGAACAAGAGAGACTTAGAATAGCAAAAAAGAATTGGAAAAACAAGTAATATAACGACATCAGGTGATCAGTTTTTTGGAATACCGATAAATTACAAAAATCTTGTCTTTCGAGAACTTCCAAATTCGCAAAAACTAACAGCCTCATTTACCTCCCAATAGCCCAAAAAATATCTTCTCGGCTTGCAACAATATTTTTGAAACTCATAAAAAAAGAGATTTTTTTGCTGTACTACCTTACTGACAAATTAAACGTGCAGTTTAATGACAAAAAAACTGAGCAAATAAAAACCGAATGATCTAAATAAATGAAGAGGCATCACTAACCCCAAACAACTTCTTGAAAATACCAAAAAATTACCGACCGTACAGTCGTAATGAAT